TGGGGTGGGGATGTTATAACAGATAGAGCCTTTTGAAAGGCCACGTGAAATCTCTCTTCTTGAGATGCCAGACCGTAAACACCTCAAAGCTGTTTTACTTAAGTCGTTTGATGGGCATGGTGGGCAGAGCTGCTGTGTTTGTGCAATTTAGCATATCATAGAGACAACAATCTAATTCATCCTCACAGAAGAGGTATTTCTTTCTAACTTTACTTTCTGTAGGGAATATCTTTTTCTAATTTGCAAAAGAGCCTGATAGGCCAACCGTGGCCCTGTGATGTCAGGGTTAATGTGAAGATAGTCCAAAACCTGCTTTCAGGATGTCAACATCTTTGAGAATGCTCCTGCATTGGATGGCTAGGGCAGTTTCCCTGTGTGGCCTCCTTTGCCTCCCTTCCTCAATGGAGGATTCCTATACAAAGGAATGTCTTTGTTTACTAAGCTTTTTAAAAATTTTTGATAACAAGCCCTTCCATACAATTTTCTGCCCATTTGAGGTAATTGGTGATAGAGGTAATTTTGTTGTTGTTTTACTTTATCTATATACATGCTAGAGAACATAATAGAAATTTTTGGAAATCTAAATGGCATATAAAAAGAAAGAACTTTCTCTTGTGTCTCCATTTCTATACCAGCAACCTAAAATCACTTCAATTAAAGGCTGCAGTAGACAGTTGGAATGCCATTGTGACAGATGTTAGAAACAAGATTGCATTCCTCAGGGTAAGTCATGAAGTATTTAGAGTAAATTGACTGAATGGTGTAGGTGGTATATACTTAAAGGAAACATCTAACATTAAAAACAAATTACTAGAGAAATTTAAGGAAGAACATGTTTTTTCATTGCAGTTATTAAAATTTATGCCTTTTTGAGGTTTGAGACTGATTACTTCCATTGTAGTTGGCTGTAGATAACACCCTAGGCTCTTACTTGTGGTCTTCTAGGTCCTTAGTCTAGTAAATGGTAAACTCAAAAATTGTGCCTCACACAATTTTCCTAGAATTCCAAAGCTAACTCTGCTCCAGTCAGAAATAAGTGTCTTAACTTGATCTGAGTAATTATGTGTTTACAGAATTAAAAGGAAGATCAAGCAGATCTGTATTAGTTTTCAATCTTAACTTTTTATGTAGTTACTCCCTAATGCAAAATAATAAATTCTTAATTATTCATGTAATAGAATTAGGACTGTGCTAACAGTAATCTAAAGAGGTAACACACTGAATACTTGTCTAGCTTTGTCCTTGGTGGTCTTCCCTGTTTCTTTCCCAGACTCGTTCATACTCAGTCTTTAGTGATGCTTAGCATATTTATTGGATTTATTCAAAGTTCTGGCCTCAAAAGAGATGCCCCTTGTTCTCTGTCATTGTTTTCTTCTAAGAACGTGTCCTATATATGGAAGTTTATAAATGTTTGAAGACTTTCTCTTCCAGCTCTTGTGGTTTGTTTACAAAATAACATATAAAGCAAAATGGGGACAATGCCAAAAATGTTCAAAGTATGTTTTTAAGCTTCAAGGATAGGAGTCTTACCTTTGGCAAAATCTAAGAAGAAAAAACAAAGGTATATGTGGAACTGGAGACAGCTACAGGTATAACTTTTAAGATTAAAAAAAATGTGGACATTCAAAAGTTTTCCCTAAAACTTCCCCTCCAGTTTTTTTTTTTTTTTTTTTGCGGGATCCGGGGCTCTCACTCCTGTGGCCCCTCCCGTTACAGAGCACAAGGCTCCGGACGCGCAGGCTCAGCGGCCATGGCTCACGGGCCCAGCCGCTCCGCG